TTTTAGATCATATGTTACTAATTTTATGCTTTATTGTAGTCCATGTATGTTGATATACTTATTCCATGATAATTCTATGTTTATCCTTTTGTGTGATGTAAATTAAATGCTGAATGGAGGTTCATGCAGAGAAAGAACATATCAATATTCGCATATTCATTCAAAAACATGAAAACTCTTAATGGAATACCCTCATTTCTTATTGAATTCCTAAAAAACAATATTTATAATGAATTTTAATAATTTTTTTCTGATTTTTTTAAGTTTTATTCTGACCGATTCACCCGATTCTCGATTCGAATCGATTTTTTGGGTGTCCGATCTGGGTCATCGATCCGTTTTTTAAACCATTGCTTGTGTGTATAGGATCCCAAATATGGGTGTGGGAGGGTATGGTAGGATCATTGGTGAAATTTTATACGTTAGGGGAAGTACCTAAAGCTTGTCCCTTTTTTAAGTTTTTTGACGAGGAAAAAAAAAGAAAAAGCCAAAAACTAAACGTTTGTACTTGTTGCTTGTCTGCCTAGGATATCATAACTCCGACGCGTGGAAATCGTAGCGCAAGAGGATGAGAACAATGACGCAACCACCTTTAACTTTTCTGAACCTCTGACCAATACAGAGCCGACACGAGAATGAATATTAAATTAATATTTTATTCTAGAATGGATTTCTCATCATTTTGTAATAAAACAATACTTAAATTTTACGTTATGTGGGACCCTTTCTTGGACAAGGGACCCGGTAATCAATCGGAGTTCCACAAAACTACGAAAGCCAAAACCATTTAATTATTCATTGTTTAAAACTTCAGATCTTAAAATGAAAATGTTTTAACTACTATATTAGTATGTGTAAGGAAAAAGTTTATATAAGCTTGCAACCTTATATTGTTGAAGTAAGATAAACCTCAAAAATACTACAATAAAGTGTTTCAGCATAGGACAACCCTCTAACTGATCATCTCGATCTTGAGATGAATGGACATAAAGTAAAAAAAAAATTAAAATCTAAAAAATAATGCATCTTGTAACAAGTAATCTGGATCGTTTATTTTAAAGATTTTAAAACATTTGTTTGGTTGATCTACTCGATTCTTTTAAAAGTTTAAATAGAGCCTAGGTTCTAAACAATCAAATTAGATACTACCTTAGAAATTTCACTCGAAGAGGTTGTTTTGATGCCTAAATATTTTAAAATTGGTCATCTCAACATCAAGATGCATATACATGAGAAAAAAATTGGATTTCAAATTGTAAAAATAGTGCATATTGTAATACATTTTGAACCGTCAATTTTCAAGATTTTCAAATTTTCATAGATCTACTCGATCTACACTATTTTTAAAATTTTAAAATTTATAATTAAAGATGAAAATATATTTTAAACCTATCACAAATATTTCCAATATCAAAACCCTATTTCTTGACACTATTTGAAGGTGGGATCTAATTTGATTGTTTAGAGCCTCAGCTCTATACAAACTCCATCCTTTTTTAAATTTCAAATTTTATAACTGATGATAATAAAATGGGATTTTAAAGCCATCATAAAGTTTTTGAGATGGAAACGACATCTTATTTTCTTATTTTATAGGTATGCCTTACTTCGCAACCTTATACAAACCTCACCCCCAATCTGTATACATGGACACTCTACCTCCTCAGTCATTATTTAAAGGAGAAAGTTTATATAAGTGTGATGCTCTAAACAATCAAATTAGGGCACAACTTATAAATTTTACTAAAGGCTGTTTGAGTACCTAAAAATATATTACTGGTAAACATATTACAAGAAATATGAAATTTACTATGTTTGCATACATTTCAACAGTAAAAAAATGAAAATATAAATTATACAAGATTTAATAAATTATACAAGATTTTCTCAAAATACATAAAATCTATTATGCATAAGATTTATTCAATGTGAAATCTATTATGCACAGAATGACTATGAAATCCATTACGTTTTAACGGGTAATCTAACTACCAGTCTCCTACCCAAACAAAATCCTCTATCTCCCACGATTCTCCTTTTCTGTGCCCATCTATTCTCTTGACATTCTCTCTCACATTTTTTACTTTCTCTCTCAACTCCACTTACACTTATAAGTATTTGCACATACTACTCACATCCATTTCTACACTCTTATGGGCACATCCCTTTCTACGTCCCTCTATTCTCAATTTAGGTTGTAGCCCTTACAGAAGCCATCAGCTTTTATATAAAAATAAAAATAATAATTGATAATCAATGAAAAATTATACAACACAATCATAATAAAAAATTTCACATAACATGATCCTCATAAGAGATGAATAAAATGTCATTTGAAATAAGATACATTTTTAGTATCCTCTCATGCTTCAAAAATTCTATTACAATTACCCAACTTTCTAGTTTACTAATCAAACTTCTTCCCATTTTTAACTATCATAAAGATTTTGAATTTGATATCATAAATTTATTGTTTATTTAAAAATATATGGAGAGGCATTTGAAAGATTTCTAGAATAAATAAATAAAAATAAAGCTTATCACAATAAAATCATGTTATTCCATTCATATTATTCCAGTGATTAATCGTCATCTTGAAACCAAAGTCTAATCATGTTAGAAGATATGTGATTTCATGTAAGTGCCAAAGGCATGCAAAATAAATAAGAAATAGTGTCATGACGACTTTAGAATAAAGTTATTATTAGAAAAAAAAAATGGAATGGTGATGATATTATTATTATAAAATCTTTTTGGAATGATGTGATGATGACTTTAATTCTATATTTCAGTAAAATTTTGTGACAAGAAAGAAATAAATGATAGTAAGAAAGAAAGAAATGATAGCTTCTAGGCAAGTGCCGGTAAAATGTTGGTAATACATTTTCTATATTTTTTCCAGACATAGCCAAACAGTGTATTTTTCAGGTTACATCTAAATACTACCCAAACAGTAACAATCCATTTGCATGTAATGTATTATGCAGTAATGTATTATGCCAGTAATATATTTCATAGACAATATATTTTCAGGTATCCAAATGACCCCTAAAAGACGTTGGTTTGAATTCCAAATATCCTGAAATTGATCATTTCGATATCAAGATGCATGGACATTAGAAAAAAAATAGATTTTAGATTTTGGAAATAAAACATCTTGTAATGCACTTTTTTACTATCAATTTCAAGATTTTCAAATTTTTATATATTTACTTGATTTATACTATATCTTTGAAGCTTTAAATTTTATAGTTAGAGATGAAAATATATTTTAAAGCTATCACAAATATTTAATTGAAACCATATCTTTCGACACTATTTGAAAGTGCACTTTACTTTGATTACTTAGGGCCTCGGTTTTAAACAAACTGCCGCCTTATTTAAAATGTGATATTTGTATAAGATGTCTATCTTTTATTATAGAGAAAATGCGCACCTCTAAATTTTGTGAGAAGGTGTAGTCTAGCATCCTAATTATAAATTTAAAATTTTTAAGAAATGTAGAATGAGCAAATCTATATACTTCAAAATCTTAAAAATATCTGGTCTACAGATATTTTGTTATAAGATGAACTATTTTAAGACTTAAAATTATTTTTTCTTTTTACTATATAGTCTAGAGGTCCAAAAATCAATAAGAAAGTTTTCCAAATATATCACTCTTTTCAACTGAATTTTTTGTGTGCACCTCACTTGTATAGAATAAATTCCATATAAGTTTTTCCTTATTAAATTTTAAAGACATGAAAATTGCTACGAAGTGTGTACTCTGGTATTCTGATGGCGCTCGTGTATATCGTTTCATACTCCTATTGATATATCAAGGATGCACGCCAAATAATGTAGAAATCTAATTTTCTTTTCAAGTGGGGGTGCTTCTTTATCCTCTTTGTTTTTGTTTCCAACGATGTAATTTCTTTTTTACAGCTTCCATTATTAATAAACTTTATTAATACTTGTAAAAAAAATTCTAATGTTTTTTCAATATTTTTTGAAGTTATATTATAGAATATTCTCAATGTCCTCTCCTATATTTTCTTTCGAAACTGAAATCGACTCCCTTTATTGTCTATTTACCTTGCTTAAGTTAAAGTAATAAGTTTTTATAAGAGGTGGGCCCTAATCAATCAAATTAAGGTACACCTCAAAAATCCGATCAAAGAGGTTGTTTCCATCCTCAAAACTCCGCAAATCAATCATCTAAGGAAAATTGTTTCATGTGGGTTAGACTGCATTGCTATAATATACGGTCCAATGATATAAATCATCTATTTTAAAGATGTATGCAAATAGGTGGTCCATCTAAAAACAATTGTAACTAACGATCCAAATGTTTTTCTAATAAAATTATCATTCTTAATTTTTTTAAAATTTTATTTTTTCATATTCATTATCTCCATGTTAAATATTATATATCCTCTAAAAATTAGTATCAAAATATATTTAAAAAATATTATTTGTCAAGCCCACATTTCTACAATATGCGGGCTGGCCGATGGATTTCAAATCTTGAACCGTACATCTTGTAATGCATTATTTAAACTATCCTTTCAAAATTTTTAAGTGTGCATAGATCTGTTCGATCTATATTATTTTTTAACTTTTAAATTTTATAATTAAAGATAAAAATAAATTTTTAAGCTATGAAGATTTTTTAATACAGCGTCTTTCGACACTATTTAAAGGTGTGTCTTACTTTACTTGTTTAAGGCCTAGGCCCTGTGAAAACTACGCCCTAAGTAAATAAGGGGTAATAGGCAACCACTTAGAAGTTTCACACCCACCGACACCCATGTCCATGTGGACAGGGCAATATATTCCAAGGCCCTCAAAAACCGCAAACCACTCTTCCGCAAAACCAATCACCGTCTTCCCAAAAGCAATTACCACCTCTTCAAAACCACTTACCACGTTCCAAAACCATGTGCTCCCCCACCAAAGCACGAGCCTCGAACTTAGAACTCCAGGTTCGGATAACCCAACCACCATAAATAGAAGCCCATCTCGTTGGGCCGAAACGCAGTTTGCGACCTTTTCCGGCGTTATTCAGGCAAACGTTTGAGATTATCCGGCGAGTTATTACCCCCTTAGTGTAGATTTTCGACCATGGACGTCATTTCACGGCCACCATCTTCACTTAACCCTAATGCTCCTCTCTTTGTTCCTTGGGCTTTTAGGTTAGTTGAGGATTTCTCCGATGAGTGGTGGGCCTTAGTGCAATCTTCGCCTTGGTTTAGAGATTATTGGCTTAGAGAGAGACAAGATGATTTTATAGCAGAAGATGATTTTATGGCACAAGATAATTTCAGTGCGTGTGAGGAAGAGCTTGATCTTTTGCCTGAAATTGACTCTGTGTTTGATGGCCACAAAGGTGAGTTATTTCGCGATTTTTTTTTTCTTTCGATGATTTTTCTTTTTGGATTAGGGTGTATATGCATTTCATAGTTTCTTCGAATTTCATTATTTTTATTCTCGAATGATTTCATGTGTGGATGTTTAAAACCTTAGCTATTGATTTCATCAGATGCATGTGTTTGGATGCATTTAGAGATAGCGGAAAATTATAGACTACGACTGTTCAGGTTTAGATAAAGAAGAGGTAAATGGTTATGGCATGGTGCTGGGCCGGCCCGGCCTTAAAAAGTAGTGCTTGGGCGGCAAAATGTGGCCTGAGAGCCATACAATGATGGCCCGAGGGTTAGGCTGCAAAATGTGGCCCAACGGCCATGCAATGATGGCCCGTGGGTTGGGCTTGGCTTTTCCTTGGCCAAGCCTAGCGTGGCCCGAGCTTTGCTTGGCTGGCTTGGCTTGGGCCTAGGGTAACATAGATGGCTCGAGAGTGGCTTGGCCTGGGCCTGGGCCAAGGCTAGCGTGGCCCGGCCCTATTTTTTGTTACTTCATTGTATATTTCATTATATCTGGCCCGCCCCTAGCCTTAGCTGGCCCTATCGGTCCCTGCTGAGGGCCTGTGTTGCGGTTATGTCCAGTGTAGGAAACCACGACTTGGGCAAGGTTCCTGGTCTCGGGCCGGGCTGAGTAATCCTGATTGGGTCTGGCATGTTCTGGCCAGGCTAAAGTCCATTAAAAAAATGATAAAAAATAAAAAATCCCAAAAAATATGTTTGTAAAATTAAACGAAACACATCTATATGGGGTTAAAAAGGTAGTGCAAAAGTAGATTTTAAGAAAATCAATTTGTGACTATTATATTTTAGAAACAATCCGAAAAAGAAAAATATTGAGTATTCACTGTCGAAATGCTTTCCAATCTTTGCCAAAATGATAGAAAACATAAATAAGATATAGAAAAGATACTACAAATAAATTTCTTATTTCTTTAAAATTTTAATAATTTTTTTTGATATTTTTCTTTTGAGATCCCGACCTTGACCACCAAAACTGGGATTAACTGGAGCGCGTCCGAGTAAACTGGGCGGGTCCGGGTCGGGTCGATCGCGGTTTGGAAACCCTGATGTCGATAGTTTCCATGTAAGAAAATCACAATGAGATTGCAGGACATCGTGAGCTTATAGTCTCCGTGGAAATATATATTCTAAAACTGAGAGTAAATAAAAAATATAATCCATCGGATCATAGCATTCCATTAACATCATGAATAGTGATCGAGAGTGGGACTCCCTGCCGTCCTTTTTTTGGATGAACCCTAAGATGTGGACCGTAGCCTGTCGTGTACAGTATACTATCCCTTCATTGGTTTTGTGAGCCAAAGATATTTTTGAGCCTGTTTGTAAAGACAAGACATTATTGGGGTATGCACTCTGCATTGTTGGCTCTATTCGGTGCAAAGTTGGGTCATTTGGACCACCAACTTATATGACTTTTTAGAAAGAAACATAAAGTTTGGGTACAATTATGAGAGATAAACAATTTAGCACTTTCATTTAATTTGAGGGTGTGGTTTCTATAAGGTAGCGACCTTAAACAATCCAATTAAGGCGCACGTCCAAATTTTATCATAACATGTAATTTTATTGTAAAAAAAATCTTAAGATTTTCTTAAAATCTATTTTCATATCTAATTAGAAAATTTTAAACTCAAAAAATGATTAAAATCAAGTAGATCTATAAACATATGAAAATCATGAAAATGAATGTTTTTTTTTTTTTCATATTCATACATCTTGATGTGCTGATGATCAATTACAGGGTTTTTTTTATTAAAACAACATTTCCAATAGATTTTTGAGGAGTTGCATCTTAATTCTACATTTAAGATTGCAACCTTGTGTAAACTTTTTCCTTAATTTAACGAGGAATGATCTTACAGGAACCACCCACACCCACACCCATGTGTTAATTCTACATTTTATGTTGCAACTTTGTATAAATTTTTATTTTATTTTAATGAGAAATAATCCTAATAGGGCCTCACCCATGTGTTAATTCTACATTTTATGTTGCGACCTTGTATAAATTATTTTTTTATTTTAATGAGAAATAATCTTAATAGGGCCTTCACGTGTTTAGGACTCTACAGGATCACTGTTGAATTTGGTACAAAACAATAAAAAAGTCAAAAGTTTTAAACCCGTATGATAACTTTTTTAGATAATTTTTATAGAGAACAGGTTTCTTTGGGGTTTTACCCGGCGTGGGGAGGGAGATCATTCCTCTAATTAATTTCAACCTAACCTTTTGGACCTTGGACAGGGACATATATCTATAACCTACCACACAAATATCTATAACCACCCTTTTGGACAACTTTGTTGATGATAAGATCAATGTGTCACAAGTGGGTGCGGCGCCGATAGAGACAGGAGCATGTGACCAATTAATTTTTATTCATTAGAAAGGGCTTTAGCTTTTTGGATAAGGATAGGATTCCACTCTCATTTTTGATATTTCCTGTTTCATTCATCGAATGTATGAGCCCTACTACTACTTTTCCTTCCCAAAATGTGAGAAACGAGCATCTACTACTATTTTTCTTTTGGTTTCTCAAATTTTATATCTATAAGAGATAGAGAGAGAAGTATATAAAGAAATCATTTACTTTTAGAATAGGATGGGGTTTCTATGAGTCGACCAACTAAAATTCATTTTACATTTTTTTTTGGCACTTTTAGAATAGGATGGGGTTTCTATGAGTCGGCCAACTAAAATTCATTTTACATGTTTTATGGCCAAGATGATCATAAATATGAAAAGAAAAATAAATTTTTAAAATTAAAAATATAATTTTTTAGTATTTTCTATGCAATGTCCATATCTTATTTATGAACAATACACTTGAGATAACGGCCATCTTTAGAGATGGACGTTTCCTTTAGTATATGGAGGTCTACTAAAGGAGGTCACAATGAATAATCTTCTATTCCTTCCAAAAGTGTAAGCTTGGTCCCTTCGTCCTTTAAGGAAGGAAGGAAATAATTTTTTTCAGTTTCTCATTTTAAATTCTTAAATATTTTTTAATAACATTAAAAAAAGTAATCCGGAATGATTAGAAGGTAATAAATTTCATAGTAATAAATTTGTTAATTTATTATATTGCTTGTTGTTTGTTTATGTAGGAGTTGAAGAAGGGAAGGGGATGAAAAATGAAGGGATGAAGGAGCTGGCAACAATGGCTTCATTGAAGTATGAAAGATCCCAAAATACGGGTGAATCCAAACGAAAGATTACCGAAAAAGCGCCGAAAATAGTGAACATGAAACTGAGCCCTCGACCCATTCAACAGCCCAGATAAATGAAGCAAAGAGAAGCTTCAACATTGTAGGAATGCAGAAGAGAAACCTTGTGTCTTGCTTTCCCTTTTTTAATCCTCTGCTGTTGATGTATGGATTAGGATTAGGATTAGGACTGTACTGTACATTTGTAAGCAACTGTGGATATATGAAACTGATGTTCATGTCGAAAGCCTGCTAGTGCTCAATGTGTTTTCTCTCAATTGTGCACATTAACAGGCTCCCTCGCCACTGACACCTCATGGTGGACTTCCACGAAAGTGCTTGTTCTTCTAAGGAAAATGATCTTATTCTTATAGATGCGCAGTCATTCTTTACCAAGTTATATGATAAGTAACTGGCTCAAAAGAAAAAAAAAATACATATAATAAGTATGGGCGTAAATAAAAAGGGTGCGGTTTGTATAGAGCTGACGCTCTAAACAATCAAAGTAAAGTTGCCTTGTCGAGAAATGTGGCTGGAATCTTTGTAATAGCCTTAAAATATATTTTTTATTTTTAATTATAAAATTTAAAGCTTCAAGAATTGCGTAGGGAAATGTACTTGGAATCTTTGTGATAGTTTTAAAATATGTTTTCTATTTTTAATTATAAAATTTAAAGTTTAAAATATATATTTTTATTTTTAATTATAAAATTTAAAGCTTTAAAAAAATGTAGTTAGAATCTTTGTGATAGTTTTAAAATATGTTTTTTATTTTTAATTATAAAATTTAAAGTTTAAAATATATATTTTTATTTTTAATTATAAAATTTAAAGCTTTAAAAATTGTGTACGTCATGCACATTTATGAAAACATGATAATCTTGAAAATTGATGGTTCAAAAATGTTTTACAAGATGCATTACTTCAAAAATTGGAAATCTATTTTTCTCATATCCATTCATCTTGATGTTGAGATGATCAATTTGAAAATATTTGATCATCAAAACTAAATTTGATTGTTTAGACTTTAGAGCCTTGATTCTATATAATTTGGCTCTATATAATCTTTTCCTAATAATTAGTCAGACATCGGCCGGTTGTCTTGGTTAAATCAGAATTAGCCACTAGTCGGTTTTAATTTTGTCGGTTTTGGTGAACCGACGGGTTATTTTTAAAAAATAATGAAAAAAATTACATAAAATTCTAAATATAAAGGGGTTTTATTTGTAATGTATTTTTAATTTTTTTTTATAATTTTAGCAAAAGTTAAGATTGGAAATTGTTTTGTCTATTAATATTTATTTTACATTTTTCTCTCTTTTTAAATTTTTTTTCAAAATACCCTTGGAGATAAATTGATTCTTTAAAATCTATTTTTTCGTTAATTTGCAATTTGATGTGTTTTGTTTAATCATTCTTTAAAAAAAAAATTACATATATATCCATTATAGTTTTCGTTATTACGGTTTTACCAAATAGTTTCCGTTATTACCATTGTATCTGTTTTTTTATGTTAAAACAGAAATTTTTTAAAAATGACGACTTTATCCTTTTTTGGTTGTTCAGTTGTTGAACAATCGAATTCAAAATATTTTCGGTTATTCATCAATCCAAGGGTCAATTTTTTGTTTTTGAATAACCGAAAATTTAAAATTTTTGGTTAATTTTTTTTCACTCTTGTGAGTTTGTGTATCCTCTCTCTACCTCTCTCTCTAGAATGCATGGATAAAAATGATTTTTTAAAAAAGTCTCTCTCCCCTTCACCCTGCTTCATTTTTTTGGAGTAAGTTCATAATGTGTGAGATTTCTCCTAAATTTAGGTGCTCAGAATAGTTGTTCCCCGTGATTTCATTGGATAACCATGGTTTCAAAGAGGTAGAGAGAGAATACGCCACAAAATTTCTCCTAATCTTTTAATCTCTTAATCCTTAAGATTTTTCATAAATTTAGACGCGCAAACTAGTTGTTCCCCTTTGATTTTATCGGATAACTACGAGAGGTAGAAAAAATATCCAACAAGAAAGAGAAACCATTTTTCGGATTTTGAAGAACGAAAAATTTAAAATTTTGGGTTCTTCAACAACCAAAAATTTTAAATTTTCTATTATTCAAGAATCGAAATTGGTGTATTTTCGGTTGTTGAACACCCGAAAATACTTTGAATTCGGTTGTTTAATAAATGAAAAAGGGTAAAATCGTTTTTTTTTTAAATTTCCGTTTTGACATGAAAAAAAGATACGGTAGTAATAACGAAAACTATTTGGTAGAGCCGGAAGCTATAATGGATATGAATGTAATTTTTCTTTATTTAAATATACTTTTCATATTTTATTAGATTTTTTTTTTGTATTTTCCTATTTTTTAACACTTTTCTGACCGCCCAAGACTTGCCCGGTTAGAGGTTGAATGAAGTGACCTGGTTACGTGAGTTGAACCGCATCCGGCCCCATGTCTAGTTAATCATTCAGATTGGATTTTTTCTTGATCTATACCCGATTTTCCCTCTTCACAACAAATGTTTTTAAAAAAATGATGAAACTGCCTTTTGGTTTCTCAATAACCAAAATATTTTAAAATTATCGGCTTTGAAAAGCCGAAAATAAAACGAATTTAGTATTTAAAAAACTGAAATTAGGTCTCGTTCCTCTCACCCGAAAATCCCTTTTCTCAACGTCTCTCTCCTCCGCTGTCTCCTTCTCCCTTTCCTCCGCCTGTCACCGGTCTGAAAGCCTCGTTCTCTGCGAAGGAATCGCTCTCCTCTCTGTAGAAACCTTGTTTCAGATCTGGACCGAAGGTTGAGGGTTGGTTTTTTGAGTTTTATTTTATGGAAATGTCGATTTTAGAATCCCGAAATGTGTAAGATGTCGCGTTCGGACTTCTAAGTTGAGTAATAAATTGTTATTATGGCACAATATTTTCTAATTTGTTTGATGGATAATAGTTGAAGGAATCAAATACAATTATTTTAATGGATGGATTTTTTTGTATTATTATGGAATGATCTAAGATGATTAATCGATAAAGCCATTTTTTTCTCTGTTTTTTTGTATCTTATTCCTATCTTTCTAAGCGCAATCAACGCAATTTAAGGTAGAAATTTTGAACTTTTTTTCTTTGTTGCTTATGCCCTCGATGATTAGTGTTGCTTATTGTCTAATCTTTATGTAAATTATAAATGCATATTTTTTAAAAAATATTGATATGAGATAAGGGTGATATGAGACAAGGATGATATTTGGGTTGAGGTTTTCGATTTTTATTTTTATTTTCTTCAGGGGAAGTCATTGTATCGTTGATCGTGTAACTCATCTACCATCTTCTTACCAACCTCTTTGTCCAGCTAAGCTTGCGTGCAGGAAACCTAACATGGAGATCGAGCTGTACTTCATTTATAATGTCTATCCGTGTAATCTTAGGTTGGTTATGAACACGAACTTTAATATTATTTTCTACCCAATCACTTCAAGCAAGCAACTGATAAACCATCTCCAAACCTCTATATGTGTACTCATTAACCAGGGACTTTATTTTAAAGTATATCGTATCGCCAGCTCTTACGCATTGCACTTACTACATACAACCCTCTACCTTGCAACTTGCCTAAACTTGCCCCTGCTTGCGCTTGACAAACTTCAAAACAAAATTATTGTAGACAACAAAATCAACCAAATGACGTTGGCATTCATAAATATTTTCAAAATATTGGCCAATTTCCAAAACAACCTTTTTACTAATTCCACTACATTGGTTCTCAATTGGTTTAATATTTATCCATATCATGCTCTAGTACAAACTCAGACTCGTTTTCTATTTGGACATGCACCACTTGGGTGCGCTCTCTATAATCAGGTAAAGATGTATTAGACCGACTGTTAATAGAAAACATAGTACAATAAGTTGAGTTGAGCAAATCACAAATATTTGTGACCACAAACTATTCAATTAAAGCAAATAAGAGATGAAAGCGTAAATTGTACAAATACCTATTCCTTGTAGATGGACCATCACCATCAGCTTCTATCATTCAAAACTTCTTTGGTCTCCGTTCTAGCTCCATTATAGATGCAATGCATACAACAATATTCGAAGATTCACCTCCCAACATATAAGATACATTTATGTCATCACTTATATCAATCAATTCAAATCCACTAGATATTTAAAAAAAAAAGAAAAAAAGAAAAAGACCTTATGTTATTACATCCATACCCGACGTTTTTCCCTTTCATAACATGTTTTCTTTTAAATGATGGAACTAGCCATTTCGGTTTTTTTAATAACCGAATAATTCAAATTATCAGATATTAAGGAACCAAATGAATTAATTTTTTGGTATTTTAATAACCAAAAATATTAATTTTTTGGATTTTGAAATTTTAAAATTTAGGTTTTTGGCTCTTGAAGATCATATATGTTTTCGGTCATTCAACATCTTGAAATTTTCATGCTAAATTTCCTACGAAATAACACTATCCTACTAGTATTCATCTATCTTTTTAGGGTTCCCACTAGCATCTCTCTCTCTATCTCCCCGACTCTACCATGTCTCTCTCTAACCCACGAACTTGAATGGATTTGCTATGTGTCTCGCTCTCACAACGAGTAAGATTATTTGGGGTTTATTCTCTAATTGAATTTTAACTGTATGTAATGTTTTGTGTTTGTATTGGTAGAAGTTATTTGTCTTTAAAGTGAATATATTTTTGGGTAAATCTTATAATGAATAATTGATTTCCTTTTAATATTGGATTGATTTACTAGTACATAGTATTTCTTAGTCTTGCCCTATGGGTGAGGCCAACTTGCCATATCTTATATGTAAAATTCATATTTTATGATCCCTAAATGAATGTTTAATTATGTATTAAACATATCTGATATTTTTTGATGACTTCTATTCTTTTTTTTTTGTAACTTGGATTTTGGTATTCATTTAAGACAGTAGCATCAACAATGGTTACCGAAAGAATGCAATTAGTATTTTGATATAGAAGATCTTTTACGACAAAATCAAATGATGGATGTCTTTTTCACAAAAGAGAGAAATTGAAGGTTATCAAGTACTATAAAAATAATTCATTGGAACAACTACAAAGTCATTTTGGGAACTTGATATCGTGTGATTCAAGCAAGTTGACTATTATGTACAACATCGGTTTATGAGAAATTGCAAATTGTTGGTTATAAGCTTTTCTATTCCTTGTATTTACTATTTTATGCAGAAGTATGAAAAACAAATGAACAATCCCTATCAT